TAATATTTGAAAATATCGAAGAATTAACTATATATAAACCACAACACTGCAGGAAGCAGGCATTTATCGTTCAATACGTAGCCATGGAACCTCGAAATAACGAACCTCCATGTATTGAATTCCTCGGTATAAAAACTATTTTCTTTACCCCCAGTGATAGTAATGAGGGGTACTATATTTGAAAAAGAACCTCGATAAAGTGGAAACTCTCCATAACGAAGGGTTTTGTTACATCGGGGCTCTTTTTCATAATTATTTTACTATTACTGGGATAAAGAACTTGAAATCGTTCTTTACACCGCGAGGACTGCGTTATAAAGTGGCTCATTACTATATCGGGGTTCCATTGTATAACAAAACCTCGTTAAGGCGAACAAATTTTGCCAATTCCTTTGCCCTTCGTTGTATTGAGGTTCTACCCTCATCATAAATTAACGGTTTAACTCTTATATAGCAGCCTGATCAGCTTAACGCAAATCTTAGAGGTTCATTTTCTTGTTGATGTTCTTGGTTTCCAGTCGTACCCGGCTTAGTTCTGTCCTCTCTCTCTCTCTCTCTCTTTTGTAATCGTTCTACCGCCTTTAAACTCAAAATTTTTTCTTATTTTTAAAGAGTCACTATTCATTGGCTTGTTATCACTGATGTGTAAGTTTTTTTAAATCAAAATTTGTAGACTTATATATTTGCATGTAAAAAAAAACCCTTAACCTTAAAATTCTTTGCCAAGCCTTTTCAGATCTGGAACTAGTTAAAACATTTAATAACCTTTGACCAAAATAAAAAGTGTTTGAGGAAATGGAAATATATTCTTGCGAAGTTCTTTTTTGACCTTTAAGTCTAAATTCATATTTGCAAATCAAGTCGTAAACAATGAATCTTATTAAAACGTGCCGACAGCTGGGCCTTAACAATTAAGGAAAACTTCAGTCAAGACAAAATTGATCATAATGGACAAATTTAACTCAGCAATGGGACAGGCGGCCTAAAAAAGAGAAAAACGTAGTCAACGTAAACTTGATAGCACTCTTGAGCTCGATTGTTGAAAACAAATTAATAAAACTGAATGGGTTTTGAAATATTTGTCACGGAGGAAGAACTAAGGTTACGTGAAGTTAAAGACAAGCGGTTCCCGACTCTTAAGAGCCTCCTCACGAACTTACTAAAAGAAAAATTCTTCGCTCACTCGTGGTCTTGAGCTGATGAACTACTGAATTACCAAAAAATATCAACTGAAGATGCTTATGACAAAAGCTGTTGTCTTTGATTGGTTCCTAACTATAGAGAAGTACACTTTTTAGAGGATTTCATGAAAAGTGTACTTGAAAACATCTGCAAATTCAAAGTAGCCCTTATACCCATAAACTAATAATTACTTATGACTCAGCAAACATCCCAGTGATATTCTCTGGAACCCTTCTTATCCTGGCATCTAATATCCATAGCTATAACACCAGATTTGTAATTAACCTCAACTTTCATAGACCAACGAAATCATCAAGTAATGATATCGAATTTCCCTTTGTAATTTTTTGAATCTAAAATCGAAACTATTCCCTCTGAATTAAAACAAAAATACTAATGTACCTGGGGAAATGGGATTGCATTCAGAATGAACGAACTGATTGGAGTAGTAACGCAATACACAAGACAATTATCTCCTTCAACTACCCCGAAATCCAATGTATTCCATTTTTCCACAAGGAAAAAAATCATCCCCCCCTAAACAACTGGAAAAATCATTTTAAAATTCTCAAACTTTTATATTGAACCAATGACTCCAACCCTCTGTATTAAGCCGTTTGTGGGTGGCTGGATTTTGAAGAAAGGGACTGAAATACTGAATGAAGACTGAAGGAACGGCTTTTAACCAAGACCATGATCACCCGCTTAAACCGAGCGCGCACCACGGGAGCTAACTCAGTTTTCATTTGATTCGTGGTCACATTATTGTAGCTAGCATTTTATTATGCCCAGGGCGCGGGTTTTACTATTATCCATGCAGTGACAGTGACGTCCAGCACAACAAACCGTATCAGACAACAGAGTTGCTAAATTCACTTCCTTCTTAACATAGGTGGACCGTGATTTCATTAAATGTTTCTGGGGATAGTCCTATGATGGGCCTTGTTTGATTGTTTGTATTGTTATTAACTGTTTTAAGTATTTGGGGCTGTAATGTGTAATTTTCTAAGTTTTAAAGACAATGTAAATTCAACAAAACATAACACGAAAATGTTTTATACAAATTGTGGACATTTTGAGTTATTTCTAAAGAATGGTTAATTTAGCCATCAATTTTATTCTATTGCTGGCGAACTTTAACGCGCGCTAAATGCGTGTATCACACTTTAAGCTGTCATCGTACTTTACGGTCACTGCCTTGAATTTCCTTTAATTCAATTTGAACAAACGTCGTTCGCAAAATTTTATGAAAATTGGGCACATTATTCTCCATGTTGGGGCGTCAAGTTCCGTCGAAGACCGCAGAAATTGCCATGGGAACTTAGTTTGAAAAAAAAATGGAAAGAGCCCAGAATGACACAAAACCTTTTGTGAATCATTAGTCTGTAGGTTTCTAAAACACTTCAGACGAAGTTGAGTCCACTGTTCCACACGACTGTTACGTTGCACTTCATATAGGACAGACCTATAATATATACTAGTGCAGTGCAAATCTATTGTTCTGGCTCATTAGCATTACTAGTGTCCCATGTGAAGTTCGACGTTTCGTTTGACCATGGTCCTAGTCTGAGCAGGAGTGATACGTAGCGAGCAAACCTGATGGAAAAAAGGTTCAGTTTACGTTCAAACTGCTTAGGGGGTCTAAAGTCTGAGCTTTCATCTTTGCGATGTTAACAGAACTAGCGACTTGTTAATTACCCAGGGGCAGTCAACGAGAATATAGTTCAAAACCACTTAAATATAGCATTGTTGAAGGTATTTTAGTATTTTTAAAAACGGTAGATATAGGCATATTTTCATCCCTTAAACATTTTCAACAACCATCGAACGCCATTTCTACTTTCCCGAAAAACTGAAATAAGGTAAGTTTGCTATTAACTTTTAGTTCAGTTAACGGCCCGAATTAAAGAAAGTTTTAGTGGATTTTTCTCGTGATCACACTTTGGAATTTTACGTACAATTCAAACTAGAGCAAACGCTGTTAAGACCCTTCATTCATGAAGGCAATGGAAGCGCTATTTTTTTTTCTACTCTGAAAGGCGGCTTGTTTTCATACTAACATTTACACTTAGATTCAGGATTTCATCCCGTATTCACAGAATAAAAAGTTCTGTGGGTTAAGAGTGCGGTCCAAAGTTTGGATGCAAGTACCTAGATCTTTCCCCGCAGACTTCACAGTTAAAAACTCCTTGCGCTGCAAAATAAACAGCACCAAAGGAAAGCATGTCACAGTTTAGTAAGTAAAAAATACAAATAAGGAATAAATTTGATAATTCCTTCGCGTATTTCATATGAACCTTTATAGCAAAACTAACTTCACCATCAACAAATGTCCCGATACACAACTTGTTTGAGCCCACAAAATTTTACCTAACCTTTGGTCTTAAAATCAGTTAACGTTCTCCTTGGTTCTTGCAGTCGTCCTAAGAAAAGCTGAAGAAGAAAAAAATCGAGAAGGCTTATGAAAGGCACTAGCTAAAAGCCATACAATTCGTTTATAACATGGAAAATAATCATAAATGAGGATATAAACGTGAAATAAAAAAATTCAAAAAGCGACAGAATAAAAGGGGTTTAAGTTTTGACCCTACGTATTTCATAGGGTCAGATCTGAAGCGAGTGCACTACCGACCAGGGGAGATGGAAGTAGAGTGAAGATTTCTGCACTGATTGTTGTGATACTACGAAATGACTAATGCTTTTAACGTAGACACACACAAATATACTGACTAATGTACAAGGAATTTGGTCCATAATGAAAAAAGTCGTCAATGTTCAAAGAGATCCGTTTTTGCTGAAGTCGCAATCAAGCTTGCCAATAAAGGAATTAAAATTGCCATGCTGACCCACATCGATAAGAAAAGCTCCAGAAACCCCAGATTCACGGGTGCAGAACCTTTTGAGAAGTATAATATGTCCTCAGCTGATGGACTTTCGCGTGGGTTATTACGATGAAGTCAATTCTATCAAAGTTAATTAAAATAGAATGGTTGGGAAACCCTTTGTTATAGGTTTTTGTTCGCTTTTTGGACCTGACCTTGCACAACGTTCAATAGCATTCCTATCATTTTGAAGTTACTGACCAATAGAAACATTGGATTAAATTATTCAGTTATAATGTGTTAACAGGAAACAAAGGATTGTGCCAGTCAGGGAGCTCCCAACATAACCTACAGCACCATTGTTTTCAACTTTGATGTTTGCCGGGTTTCCTCACCAGTCTCCTCTACTTCCTATGATTCTATGTACCTTTTGAAAACAAGCAGCATGAGTGTCTTTACGCGTGAAAAACCGATCAGAAACCTTCCAGTAGAAATATTCGTTTTCCCGATAATTAGAGATTTCTTGATAGTTCGGCTTAAATTGATCCATAAAAAAACTATTTCTTTTTTCAGTTTTTATCAAATATAGTGATGTGAAATGAGATAAATATATACAAGAAAACGTCAGTACCATCGCGACATTCACACCTACATTCTTTATGGTATGAAGAATTATGTAGATCGAGGGGGTATTATCCACTGAGGCTGAAGGCTGAGGTGGACAGCAGCCTACGAGTTCTACATAATTCTTCATATCATACTTATTCTCCTTAAAAGGAGAATACAATGATTGTTTTATTAATGCACAATGTAAAATATTCCTAAGTTCATTATCATTACCATCATCATCATCATCATCATCATCACCATTATCATTATCATCATCAGTTTGATTCATTTGCGTCCAAAAAGCCTCGTTTCTTTTTCTTATTCTAACAACTGTTCTCTAAAACCACAATTTATGAATTGCAGCTCACCGTAAAATTAAACTTCCTTATGGCAAATTACAAGCTACTGTTGGCTCTTTTAATGGCTACAACTGCGTCATTTGTGGCAGGCAGAAGCCTCTACTTGTTGGAAAGAAGTTCTGTAAGTGATAAAAACTTAACAGTCATTAATAAACGGATAATAGAATAACTTTATTGTCCCGAATAATTCAGATCTGATTGTGACGTAAGAGTACTTGTTATCTTTCTTGACATGAATTTTTTTGATTTAGTAGTGAACAATTTAGTATTCCTATAATTGAGTAAATGAATATTTTTTAAGCGTCACCCTTATTGCCCAAAGTTCCTGCGCAGCTCCTCTCTGGGTGTTCCAATAAAAATGGCAATAATAGAGAGGAGAAGTCGTTACGTCACGTTGCTATGGTAGCAAAATTTTTGGATGACAACAAACCGATAAAGTCACTTAAAAGTCTACTCGCACTATTTCAAACTTCACCGATCTTATTCAGTTTCATTTAATTTGGCAAATCTTGGCGAAATTTTTCTTTAGGACCGTATCTATCCTTTTCTAAGTTAAGAAAAAGACAACGACAATTTTTGTGGTGTGTCCACCTACTCCATAAAGCGAACTCGTGAAATTAGGATGTTTCATGTTGTAGAGTGCAACGGCGGCAAAGAAATGTACAAAATAGCGTGATGCACGTGCAAAGTTGTTGTTTTTTCATATAAACATATTAATTTTTGTCGTTCTCCTTACCTTCACCGTCGTTGTTGGTTTTGTTGTCATCCAGAAATAGTGCTACCATGGTAACGTGACCTCACACTTCTCTCTATTAAAAATAAAAATAAGCGCGCGGTGGACGATGGGAAGAGGGGAAAGGCGGAAGGCCTCTCGTCCTCTCTTTCCCCCTTGCAATCGTTCCCCGCGCATTTCCTTTTTCCACTCTCCTCACGACTCAAAGAGGCGTCTGAGGAAGAGCACGCTGGGGAAGAAAAGTGCGAAAAATCGGCCATAAACTTGTCCAAACTCTTTTTTAAAATATGCAGGGAATGTTACCAATATCTCTTAAAGTATAGAAGATAATTAGTTAAGACTTTCGCTGTTGTATTTTTCTGAAGTTATTGTTTGAAATTCTTCTTTTTTTGGATGACTACTGCGCATGGCCAAAAAGCCCGTTTTGTGACGTCATCAGATGTGACGTCACAAAAATGAAATTTGAGAATTCAAATCGGACAAGTCCTTCAATTTTATGTGCACCGTATTTCTGCAAAGTATCACAGTTTCAGGTTACATACCTACGAAGAAGAAACCTTTGGGAGTTTTGATTTTTTAATTGGCCACTAGAGAGTCACGTGACTGGTAACCACAGAAACGATATGCAAAATATTCCTGGAATCAAGTATTGTTGCTTGTATTACTTTCAGTTACATGCCTTTAAAAGAAACAATTTTATAGCCCCAAGAATTCAAAAAATTATTGTCCAAATCACGCCCCACCGAATATTTGACTCAGCCTAAAAAAAATGGCGTTTCGAGAAAGGCACAGCTCCGTATTAGCCAATGAAGGAACCCTTAGCGCCCCAAAAAACAGCCCCGTAGTGCAGTCTCACGCACAATCTCATATGGCCAATATGGAGGCCAACTGGAAAAACTGAAGTGGTAACCTCCAGAGGGGAATGCAGAGCGTTAACGTGCTTGTCATTGTTTCCTATACGTTTAAATGCTTCAAATTTGTAATTTGTTTATTTGTTCCGATAAACACTGTTGGCGGTTAACGTTGTTGGCTAATAGTCGCCCCATGTAACGTAATCCGGAATACAGCTCAAGAAATCCGAATCCCACTAAAGATTTGAATCCAGAATCCAAGTTCCTCTGACAAAGACTCCGGAATCAAGAACCCGCGGCTTGGTATCCAGAATCCAAGACTGTCTTGGATTCCATTATAGGGGCGATAATAGTGAAAATTAAATTGTTGATAATTCATAGGATTTGTTTGATGATGTCGACGCTAATGAAGACGGCTTTGTGACGCCAGAAGAGCTTGCAGAATATCTGAAAATAACAAGCCCTGAGACCGGTAAGAACTTCAGCATTATTGCCTCTCAGTATGTGGCAGCTGTAGATTCCGGTGATCAGGATGGAAAACTTAATCGAGAAGGTACGGATTCGTAGACTGATAAACTTTTGCAATTGTTAGTACAATTTAGAAGTATTGCGTTGGTTTCGCCACATGTAAGAGAATCTGAATGGCGGAATCTGGGAAAATTTTGCCTGTTGGTCTGGAATACGGGAAACATTTGCCTGTGAAATTTGGAAACCTGGTCTTTGGAATCTAGAATACAGCTCAAGGAATCCGGAATTCCACTAATGATTATAACTAAAAACCAGTACCTGGAATCCAGAATCCACTGTGTGGAATCCAGACAGAATCCAAGACTGTTGGATTCCCTTACCTGGGGCGAATTGGTTATTACATCCCGCGTAGAAGATGCCCGTTTTTTTTTTTTTGAGAGGGAAGGGAAAAATCTCGAGGACGCGTGCGCTCCCCAGGGAAGAAAAAGCCCCGCCTTTTCCTTTACTCATGTGTTTCCCTCCTCACGCGCTCTATAAAAAGTTACCCAAGTAACTTGCGCGTGCCATGTACTCTATGGCTATTGAGACAGCATTCTATACGAACCAGACAAATTTCGAGTTCTGCCAGCTGGAGCTCTTTTTTATTTCCACCTTGCAAGAGGGGGTGGGGGGTAGGGGAGGAGGGGAGGCATTGGTGGAGGATGAATGGCATCCACCAAAATCGTCCCTTTTTCAAAATGGCTTAGAGGCAAAACTTCCTCCTTTTCAGTGGCTGAATAGCTGTTCATTATTACTCAGAACATTTTGTCAAACTTTCAGTAGATAGCGCCCGAGTTTCATTTTTCTTTTGTTTAAAGAAGGAGAATTCAAACACTAGAAAGCTCAGAAAAAGATTTCCGAGCTCCGGGTGAGAATCAAACTCACGACCCTCCGAGTTTTAGCTGTCTGTTTCTTTGTTTGTTTGTTTTTATTAATATTATTCCTTTTAAGCTTTTGCTTTTACGTTTGCCAGAGGCCCAAGAGACTCAGAAATGGCCTATTGATTAAAGTTACATTTCAAATTATACAACAACAACAATCTTTATTGTGCTCTTGATACAAAAGTGTAAAGACATTAAAAGGAAAAAATTGTGAAAAAAAGGATAGCACAGTCATTCAGAAATAGCAAAAGCAAATCGCGCTGAGTGGCTGGTCCGTGCGGAAAGGTAACTAGATATCAAAGTTGTTATAAATAAACAAATGCACACAAAAACACACAAAGAAGAAATATATAAGCTGTAATAAATAAGCAAATACACAAACGAATAAACAAAGAAGCAAGATGAAACAACGGCTGTACGTACAATTAGCTGCATATAAAGTACACCAATCAGTATTTGGAGATGACAGATGACAGATTCGCTTTGTAAAGCGAAGACGACTCGCTTTAATGGCATTCCCGAGTTTAGCCACACTGAAACGGATTCAGACGGATTTATTCGAGTGTTCAACGAGTTTTTCGTTTGTTTGAGAGGTCAAACGAGAAAACGAAAACGATAAGGGAGGGGGTGTGAGGAAGATCGTTTTCTCGTTTGACTTCGGTTCAGCTTTCGTACGACTGTATACTTTACTTTTCGAAACACAAACAAAAAAACTGCTAGCTACGCAGTCTATACATACAATTGGTATAATATGGCTATAGGCTACTATAGTCTTTGGCTATACGTACTGGATATGCGAAATGGAAACTCCATGATAATTACATGCAGCAATGTTTTGATTTCTACTTGCAGAATTTAGCAAGTTGCCCTTACAAGAGTAAATCAGCACCCAGTCTTCAGAGCCAATGGAAGATTTATTGTGGGTCAAGTATAAAGGGAAGAAAAGGGTCTTTTGCAACTTTCCAAGTTTTAATGTTGATTGATTAATTAAAATAAAACGCCAATAAATAATTTGGGTGTCTGATTGTTTGATTGCGGTGGCGACGTCTATTACGTCACTAGTAAAACTACGTATGTAAAGTGACACAAGGTAATTATAACTAACGTATAACAGTGCTGATATTGTAAAAACTATCAAAAAGAAAGTATACCCTCTTGCTAACTTATAATACATTTAAGTGTCACAAATATTTGACTAGTATGACATTTTCCGATGGCGCCACAAGCGGTTTTGTAAATAATCCCTGAAAAGCTTAGTCCTAGGAGAGTGTAATTTCGACATCTCAGGTCTGTATTTGAGTACTATCAATATTTTAAACTTTGTAGTTGGCGCGTCCTGTCAACGGATATCAGCATTTTTCTGCATGTGATTCATATTAGGTCTATTTGTATCTATTTGTTACTAAAATCTCAGTGAGATAATTAAATTTAGATCAATAAAGAAAATGGTAGATGACCTGTTGTTCTTAAAAGAAGAAAGAAGAGTTGGACGAATCAGAAGTTTTCCGAGGACAGAGGTTGAATTTGAGGGAAAGTACATGAGCTTTCCAAACAGCATAGATATATCTTTAGGAAAATCCCACTGGTGGTCTATTATCTATGCTGCGTTCTGATTGGTTGAACTGCTACTAAGGTATATGTTATAGCCCACTAGTAGCGAAAAGCGCCAGCTTTTGGGGGGCAAAAAAGGATTAAAGTCTAGCTTTAAGTTGCTAATTTTTTTTTTTTTTTATTCTCGATATTTTTGACCAACTAGTTGGATTTTACTATTGACTCAGAGCCCATTCGGGCTCGAGGAATAATTGTTATTTTTTTTTATTTTTTATTTTTTTCAGAATAATGCAAAGTAAATTCACAACCACTATTATTCGTTGCTAAAATACTGTTCGCCAAATCAAAAACCGGCGGCTGGACTACTGCAATGCATTTATCTAATTGCTAATTGTTTTCATAGAATAGTGAAAAGAAAAGCAATTGGAAAACGCCAAGAAGGAATAGATTAGACAGGATCACTACATCGGGAGTATTTGGTCTGACGAAATAACGAATAACAATACATTTTTCAGGTTCAAATCTACCTTCTCTTCAGCCGCTGAAGTCAAAATAGATCATTACACTATAGAGGAATATTATGAAAATCTACCAAATGTTGTTTTCCATATACTTCATATTATAATTTATTCAAATGGAAAATTTTCCTGGAAAGATAAAATTTCCTTGGTATCTTCGAATAGGGAGAACTGCACGTTTCCATTCATTCTTGTTTCATCCAAAGTTTTGGACAAGGTAAGCTTTAGATAACTTTTACACTAAGTCTCAGTAATTTCTATAGTAGTTACACATATTTTATTCCTATAATATTTGGAAATATCGAAGAATTAACTATATATAAAACGCAACACTGCAGGAAGCCGGCATTTATTGTTCAATACAGTGAAACCTGGAAATAACGAACCTCCATATATTGAATTCCTCGGTATAAAAACTATTTTCTTTACCCCCAGTGATAGTAATTAGGAGTAATATGAAGTAAAGTACTCAGTAATACTTGGAACAAGATTTCTGATACCTTAAGATCCCTAAGCACATTGTCAGCCTTTAAGAAAGCAGTCCGACAGCTAAGGTTTTAGCTAATTCTATATAATATCTATGTTCTATTAAGTAATTGGGCTTTTTATTGTAAATAGCTATGTCACGTAATTTTTAGGCTTTATACTGCAAATAAGTTTTTGGATTTCCCTTTCTTTATCTATTATTTTATTTATTTGTTTTGTTTTCTTTGCTTTTTTGTCTCTCGGCTTATTAGCATATTTTATCTGGTGGTCTAGCCAACCTCATCAAACCCGAGATTAAATAAAGCTTCATTCATTTGAAAAAGGAACCTCGATAAAGTGGAACCTCTTCGTAGCGAAGGGTTTTTGTTATATCGAGGTTCTTTTTCATATATTTTACTATTACTGGGATGAGGAAAATCGTTCTTTATGTCGAGGACTTCGTTATGTAGAGGTTCCTTATATCGAGGACTGCGTTATAAAGTGGTTCATTAATTATATCGGGGTTCCATTGTATAACGAAACCTCTTTAAAGCGAACAAATTTTGCCAATCGATTGGCCCTTCGTTGTAAAGAGGTTCTATTCTCATCATCAATTAACGGTTTAACTTTTATAGCAGCCTGATCAGCTTAACGCAAACCTTGGAGGCTGATCTTCTTGTTGATGTTCTTGGTTTCCAGTCGTACCCGGCTTAGTTCGTCCCTCTCGCGCTCAGTTTTTGCAATCGTCCTACCGCTTTTAAACTCAAACGTTTTTCTTATCTAAGAGTCCCTATTCATTGCCTATTATTGGCTTGTTATCGCTGATGTGTTTTTCTTAAATCAAACTTTGTAGACTCATTTACATGTAAAAAAACCTTAACTTCCAAATTCTTTGCCAAGCTTTCCAGATCTGGAACTAGTAAACATTTAATAACTTTTACCCAAAATAAAAACTCTTTGAGGGAAATGAAAATATATTCTTGCGAAGTTCTTTTTTGACCTCTAAGTCTAAAATTCATATTTGCAAATTTGAATCGTAGTAAACAACGGAATCTTATTAAAATTTGACACTGGGCCTTAACAATTAAGGAAAGCTTCAATCAAGACAAAAATGATCATGAAGCACAACTTTACCCCAGAAATGGGACAGGCGGCCTTAAAAAAGAGAAAAACGTAGTCAACCTAAACTTGATAAGACTCTTGAGCTAGATTGTAGAAAACAAATTAATCAAACGGCCAATTTTCCCTGTGCAATTTGTTGCATCTAAAATTGAAACTACTCCCTGTGAATTAAAACAATAATACTAATGTACCTTTACCTGAGTGACCTGACATTGTTTTTTGGGGAAATGAGGTTGAATTCAGAAGGAAAGAACTTGTTAGAGTAGTAACACAATACACAAGACAATTATCCCGTTCAACTACCCCGAAATCCAATGTATTTCATTTTTCCACAATTAAAAACATCATCCCTCCCAAAACAACTGGAAAAATCATTTTAAAATTCTCAAACTTTCATATTGAACCAATGATTCTAACCCTCTGGACTTTGAAGAAAAACAGAGAAATACTGAATGAAGACCAACGACCGGATTTTAACCAGGATCACCGCCAACTCAGTTTTCATTTGATTCGTGGTCACATTGTAGCTAGCATTTTATTATACCCCGGGCGCGGGTATTACTATTATCAAGAGCCATTATGGCTCTTGCTATTATGCACTCAGTGACACGTAAAATTAGGGAAAACGTCCAGCACAACAAACCGTATCAGACAACATAGTTGCTAAATTCACTTCCCTCTTAACATAAGTGGACCGTTCTTTCATTAAGTGTTTCTCAGGATAGTCGTATGGTGGGCCTTGTTTGATTGTTTGGATAGTTGTTAACTGTTTTAAGTATTTGGGGCTGTCATGTGTAATTTTCTAAGTTTTAAAGACAATGCAGTTTCAATAAAACATAACTCGAAAATGTTTTGGACAAATTGTGGTCATTTCGAGTTATTTCTGAAGAATGGTTAATTTAGCCATCAATTTTATTCTATTGTTGGCAAACTCTAACGGGCGCTAAATGCGTGTATCACACTTTAAGCTGTCATCGTACTTTACGGTCACTGCCGTGAATTTTTTTAAATTCAATTTGAACAAACGTCGTTCCCAAAATTTTATGAAAATTGGGCACATTATTCTCCATGTTTGGGCGTCAAGTTCCGTCGAGGAACGCAGAAATCCCCATGGGAACTTAGTTTGAAAAGAAAACTGGAAAGAGCCCAGAATGACACAAAACCTTTTGTGAATCACTGGTCTGTAGGTTCTTAAGACACTTCAGAAGAGGTTGAGTCCACTGTTTCACACTATTGTTACCTCGCACTTCACATAAAACAGATCTAATATATACTAGTGCAGGGCAAATCTGTTGTTGTGGCTCATTAGCATTAGTTTCCCAGCGTCCCATGTGAAGTGTCTGAGCAAGAGTGATACGTAGCGAGCAAACCTGATGGAAAAACGATGAACGTAAACTGAACGTTAAACACCCCAAACTGCTTAAGGAATTAAATAATACATTTAGTCTGAACTTTCATCCTCGCAATGTTTACAGACTTAATTACGATGTATCATTACTTGTATGCGTCTCTTACAACCTCCGCTCCTCTTTCACAAATGTTCTCAAGAACAATGAAGAATGTCTTGAATTGCAGCTGACTGAAAAAAAAACTTGCTCATGGCAAATTACAAGCTACTGTTGGTTCTTTTAATGTCTACAACTGCGTCACTTGTGGCAGGTAGAAGCCTCTACTTGTGGGAAAGAACTTCTGAAATAGTAAGTGATAAAGAAACCTTTCAGTTATTATTATTATTATTATTATTATTATTACTATTATTATTGTTGTTTAAGTTAGTTACAGTTTTATATGACTTAAGAAGATTCTCTTGCGGAACGTTGACGTGCTCGTCATTGTTTCCTATACGTTTAAATGCTTCTAATTTGTTATCTGTTTATTTGTTCCGACGAACAGAGTTGGCGGTTAACGTTGTTGGCTAATAGTCGCCCCATGTAACGTAATCCGGAATACAGCTCAAGGAATCCGGATCCCACTAAAGGTTTCAGGATCCGGAATCCAAGTTCCACTGACAAAGACTCCGGAATCAAGAACCCGAGGCTCGGGATCCAGAATCCAAGACTGCCTTGGATTCCAATATATGGGGCGATAATAGTGAAAATTAATTGAGCAATAGGCCACACTTTCTATGGGTTTACCGGCGTGATAACCCAAGCGGGATGTTGGGAGAACACGAGAAAAGCTTCAGTTTTAAATCACGAGCCGGAGGCGAGTGATTTACAAGCTTTTCGAGTGTTTCCCAACATCCAAAGTGGGTTATCACGCCGGTAAACCCATAGAAAGTGTAGTCTATTGATTTTATAAAATAACTTTAAGTTTTCTATGAGTTTACCTGCACAATAAACCATAGATTTTTAACCAGTCATAACGCGCGTGCTATTTTGGTTTTTTTAAACTTCTTGATAATTCAAAGGATTTGTTTGATGATGTCGACACTAATGAAGACGGCTTTGTGACGCCAAAAGAGCTTGCAGAATATTTCAAAATGACAAGCCCTGAGACCGGTAAGAACTTCAACATTATTGCCTCTCAGTATGTGGCAGCTGTAGATTCCGGTGATCAGGATGGAAAACTTAATCGAGAAGGTATGGATTGGTAGACTGATAAACTTTTGCAATAGAGAGGAAAAGTGTGACGTCACGTTACCATAGGAGCACTATTTCTGGATGACAACAAAACCAACGACGACGGCGACGGCAAGGAGAGCGGCAAAAAATAATATGCTTATATTAACAAACAACAACTATGCACGTGCATCACGCTATTTTGTGCATTTCTTTACCGTCGTTGCAACCGCTACGACATGAAACGTCCTAATTTCGCGAGCCCGCGTTATGGAGTAGGTGAACACAACACAAAAATTGTCGCTTTCTTTTTCTAAATTTAGATAGCGATAGATACGGTCGCGAAGAAAATTTCCCCAAAATTTGCCAGATTAAATGAAATTGAATAAGATCAGTGAAGTTTGAAATAGTGCAAATAGACTTTTAAGTGACTTTATCGGTTTGTTGTCATCCAAAAATTTTGCTACCATAGCAACGTGACGTAACGACTTCTCCTTTCTATTGTTAGTACAATTTAGAAGTATTGCTTTGGCTTTGCCACATGTAAGTGAATTTTGCTTGTTGGTCTGGAATGCGGGAAAATTTGCTTGTGGTATCCAAAATCCTGGCCTTTGGAATCTGGATTATAGTTCGAGGAATCCAGAATCCCACTAATGATTGGAACCAAAAACCAGTACCCGGAATCCGGAATCCACTGTCTGGAATCCAGATTCCAAGACTGTTGGATTCCCTTACCTGGGGCGAATTGGTTATTACATCCTGCGTAGAGGATTCCGGGTTTTTTTTAGAGGGAAGGGAAAAGTCTCGAGGACGCGTGCGCCCCCTAGGGAAGAAAAGGCCCCGCCTTTTCCTTTCATATGTTTCCCTCCTCACGCGCTCTTTTAAAACTTACCCAATTAACTTGCCCCTGCCAAGTACTCTATGGCTATTGAGACAGCATTCTATACAAACCAGACAAATGTTGAGTTCTGCCAGCTGGAACTCTTTTTTATTATTCATTAAAAATATTTATTCATTAATTATTTCTTTTATCTCAGAACGTCAGAAGATGATGGACGCTCGATCTTGTAAAGGAAAATTTTCCACCTTGCAAGAGGGGGGAGTTAGGAGGGGAGGTGGGGGGAGGCGGGAGGTGGGGGATGAATGGCATCCGCCAAAATCGTCCCTTTATCAAAATGGCTTCAAGGCTAAAATTCTCCTTTTCAGTGGCTGAATAGCTGTTCATTATTTCTCAGAACATTTTGGTCAAACTTTCAGTGGATAGCGCCCGAGTTTCATTTTTCTTTTGTTTAAAGAAAAAGAATTCAAACACTAGAAAGCTCAGAAAAAATTTTCTGAGCTCCAGGTGAGAGTCGAACTCACGACCCTCCGAGTTTTAGTTGTTTGTTTCTTTGTTTGTTTGTTTTTATTGATGTTATTCCTTTCAAGCTTTTGCTTTTGCATTTGCCAGATGCCCGGGACGGAGACTCTGAAATGGCCTATTGCTTAACTCTTTAAACCCTTAGATCAAAATTTGATTTCTCATTTGTTGCCCTTATTCATTTCCTATAGAAGTAGTGGGGAGAAGTAGATAAAGTATCAAAAAATTCATCTTGTGTGATCATGTCTGTAATTCTCATAACCACTCTGTTTTACAAAGGATTTATGTTACAAGGAGAAATTGGATGCTGATCACTCTTAGGGCCTAGAGTGTGAAAGTTGCATTTCAAGTTATACAGCAACAACAATCTTTATTGTGCTCTTGATACAAAAGTGACATTAAAAGGAAAAAATTGTGAAAACAAAAGGGAGAGCACAGCCACTCAGAAATAGCAAAAGCTAATTGAGCTGAGTGGCTTGTCCATGCGGAAAAGTAACTAGATCTCAAAGTTTTTATAATTAAACAAATGCACAAATAAGAAATATATAAGCTGTAATAAATAAACGAATACACAAACGAATAAACAAAGAAGCAAGATGAAACAACGGCTGAAACACACAATTAGCTGCATGTAAAGTACACCAGTCAGTATTTGGAGATAACAGATTCTCTTAAAAGCTTTTTATAGCGAAGACGACTCGCTGATTTTAAATCTTCGTGAATGGAATTCCCGAGTTTAGCCACACTAAAACGAACTCAGACGGATTTATTCGAGTGTTCAACGTGTTTTTCGTTTGTTTGAGAGGTCAAACGAGAAAACGAACCCCCCCCCCCCCCTCCCCCCTTCCGTTATGGTTTTCTCGTTTGACTTTGGTTCAGCTTTCGTACGACTGTATACTTTACTTTTCGAAACACAAACAAAAAAACTGCCAGCTGCGCAGTCTATACATACGCTTGGTATAATATGGCTATAGGCTACTATAGACTTTGCTTATACGTACTGGATATACGAAATGGAAACTGCATGATAATTACATGTAGTAAAATCCAACTAGTGGTCTATTATCAATGCTGCGTTCTCATTGGTTGAGCTACTACTAGGCTATATGTTATAGCCCACTAGTAGCGTAAAGAGCCGGCTCTGAAAACCAAAACAATGGCGGGTGAATTGCGTTTTGCTAGCTAAAGTTGTTTTGTCTCTATATTTTTTACCAACTAGTTGGATTTTACCAAAAGAATTATTCCTCTCGCCCTTATGGCCTCTGAGGCGATAGCCCATTCTGCCTTCGGCCTCATGGGCTATTGAGTCAGAGGCCATTCGGGCTCGAGAAACAATTGCTAAGTAACGATGTTTTGATTTCTACTTGCAGAATTTAGCAAGTTGCCCTTTCAAGGGTAAATCAGCACCCAGTCTTCAGAGACAATGGAAGATTTATTGGGGGTCAAGTATCAAGGGAAGAAAAGTGTCTTTTGCAACTTCTCCAGTTTTAACGTTGATTGATTAATTAAAATAAAACGCCAATAAGTAATTTGGATGTTTGATTGTTTGATTGCGGTGGCGACGTCTATTACTTCACTAGTAAAACTACGCGTATAAAGTGACATAAGGTAGTTATAACTAACGTATAACAATACTGATATTGTAAAAACTATCTAAAACAAAGTATATCCTCTTGCTAACTTATAATACATTTAAGTGTCATATATAAATATTTGATTAGTATGACATTTTCCAATGGCGCCACAAGCGGTTTTTTTAAATAATCCCTGAACCTCAGTCCTAGGAGAGTGTAATTAAGATATCTCAGGTCTGGATTTGTACTATTAATATTTTAAACTTTGTAGTTGGCGTCCTGTCAACGGATATCAGCATTTTTCTGCCATGTGATTCATATTAGATCCATTTGTATCTATTTGTTACTAAAATCTCAGTGAGATAACTAAAATTAGATCAATAAAGAAAATGGTTGATGACCGGTTGTTCTTAAAAGAAGAATGAAGAATTGGACGAATCAAGCAGAAGTTTCCCCAGCACAGAGGTTGAATTTGAGGGAAAGTTCATGAGTTTTCCAAACAGTATATATATATATATATATATATCTGGCCGGATTTATGAAAACCGTACCATCGGACACCGGGAGCCCACACACCTTAAACTGACTCAACTAAAGTAAATATCGCCAAGAAACTCAGCTCTTACCCATGGTTCTCTTAAGGTGACTCTCTTCTTGGTTCCTGATTAGCAAAAGAAACATTCAAGTCCATCAAAAAGACACTCTGGACTTGTCCATACACTCTGGCTGCTTAAAGGCCCTGAATGACGGAGGACGCTTGAGACTTCAGTAAGTTCTAAGCAGAGAATTCAAGGTTAAATCACCCCCCTGACATCCTCCACCCCCCCCCCCCCAGCCTAGCACGTGCTTGAGGGGAATGCTTTCATTGGCCAATGGGCCTCAAACGTTACAAGAATTTGACATGACAAACTAAAGGCAGACATGACCAGTGCACTGACTCTCCCAGACCAGGACTAACGGAAGGTACAACGCTTTTGCAGCACCCTCCCCCCCTAGAGATTGACATGGAGGCCCCTTTCCAACCCATGGCGAGTTAGCTCAGGGACTGAACTTGACAATGAGACCAAGCAGGACAGCAAGCCCCCTATGTTTTTTCTCACCGCAGTGAAATAAATTCCAGACGTTCTTTTCTCAGAGCTCGCTACAACTTTGCAAGCGTGCGTTTCTCAAAACTCTAGAAAACATTTAGGGCTTGCGTTTCTCAAACATTTAGGACCCCGGGAAGTATTTTTCAAGTCGGTTTTGTAGCAAAAGCGAGTCGCGTTTCTGTCGAAGTTGGGACTGGATTTTAAGGTTAACTTGCGTAATGTGTCGGGCAAGAAAGCGGCAAGCACTTCAGGCTAAATTTGGGTTAGAATTTTGCTTTGACGCTTTCGTGTTACAATACGTGAATGATAAATTCTCTCTGACGTCAAATGTCAGAAGAGCTATGTCATAGGGATTTAGACGTTTTTTTCGGTCAAAAGTGCCTCAAAATAAAATTGCCACCTACCTTCTTCACATAAATGTACGCTAAATGTTAATTCTAAGAGGAAAATAGAAAAGGGAATTTTAGCAGAAAAACAGTCTGAAGGACGTTTCTGTATGAGGCAGCAGAATTCTTTTCAAGTTAAAAATAATCGTTTGGTCATCAGAGTAAACTTCAAGTTAAATGAGTCACCAGTGCGAACAATCCAATAAAAGCGCAGTTTCTGATTATAAGCCCTTACTAATAGTCTCTAGCCAACCCTACCCTACCTTGTTATATGGCTGAGTCTGTTTTCGCCATGCGATTGGTCAATTTGCGGTCGGTAACTTGCTATACGGACCAAAATTTCAAAGAACAAAACTTGTTTTGGAGCTCTAAATCTCTCTACCTCGGAAAAAAGGTTAAAATTAACTTACAAGACGTCTATCAACCTCGAAGACTTATATTTTGACTTTGTCCTTCAACATTTTAAACTGTGTTTATTTGTGAACGAAGGCGATGAAGAAACTAATTCGTAATCTTATCGAAGAGGATTCTAGTCAGTGTTTGAAAATTTTATCGTAGTACGCAGTTAAGAAGACGAAAATCGACTGGCAGAGATTCGAGATGTTTTGCCCGAGAGAAAATGAGTAATTCCTGCGACAAATATGACAACAAACATGCCTGCACCCGATCATCTTGACGAGCTTCTTTGTCATTTGCAGTGTTTTTCCAAAGACCAACGAAAGAAAGATAGAAGCGAAACCGAGCCAGACACAATGTCCAGTTTTCAAAAGACTCCAGCGTCACATTGGCGAGTGAATACTTACAGTGCTCTTAGTTTTGACCGAATATACTTAAAAATGTGTCTGTAAACCCTGAGGACTGCGATGTTGACTTTTCCTTTCCAGATTTTAACCTATTGTAGCTTTCTTTGAATGAGAATGAAGCTGATGTAGAAACTGAATCGTAACCTTTCCGTGGAAGAAAATACCGTAAAATTCCGAAAATAAGCCCCCGGGCTTATATTTTTCAAAGGCCCTTTTTGAGGGGCTTATTTTTGGAGGGGCTTATATTCCGAAGGGCTTATCTACGGAGGGAAATTTGCGTTTCAAAATCGATTGGGCTAGCCTTATAGTTGAAAGTAAATTTACCGTTTTTGCTTTGTTTTACTTTGTATTTGAGGGCAATTTTCCAAGTACAAGCCCCTGGGGGGCTTATATTTGGAGGGGCTTATTTTCGGAATTTTACGCTATGTTCCGTGTGATCTGCGTCAAAATGTTCGAAACTCGGCTAATAAGAGGTATTCGTACTACTCCCAACCCTACTAAGCACGCACCATATCTTGTTCAATCACACGCATAATAATAAGGGTAACGCCTTTGAAGGGTTTTTTTATTAATTATTTTCGCTGAAATCGTTTTCTCTCAGGCAAGATCAGGCAGAAGGGCATAAATCTCAGCTCTCTGTGCAAGTTTAGGACACTTTTTATAATATCGACATTGACATAGGGGACGAAATCGTTATGTATGTATTTTGGCACATTCATTTACCAAGACGCAAATCTTTTTAAACGCCTCCCTATTATGGACACTGGATATAAATTAAAGAGGTCCCTCTCAAAAAAGTGCTTAAAATAAATTAACACACAGCCAAGGGGTTTAATGGATCTTTTACGGTATAGGTCAGTTTAGGGGTAGGAACGTCGTCCCCTTATTCATTGTCAAAATATCCTTTGTACCCCTTAGAAATTAATTAACTGGGAACCTCAAAAGGACATAAAGACGGGAAATGTAATGATTTTCAAGGAATATATTTGAAATGTCATGTGACCAAGAAAAACGATTCTAGAACTGAAGAAAGTTGTCCATTTTAATCATGCAAAGATTGCAACTGGTTTGTGCTGCTTTCATATTTGCTGGAGGCTGAATTACCTGAATCACAGGTAGACAAAGATACAGCCAAACCTCTATTATAACCGGCCTCCAGTCGCAGTAACGGAACGAGACAATATGAAAACCACAGGAACTTTGCTTTACCTGGTGTGCGTCTCTCAAAACTGTGGGAAATGTTTCATACCCAAACATAATTTTTCAAGTTTGTTTTGTAGCAATTGCGACTAGCTTTTTAGACAAATTACCCCAATTTACTTCTCCATTTTATAGCCGGCGCTTTCCTAAAAATAGTCGAAAAATGCTAGAAATCCGATTTCTTTTAATGAACTAAGTTCACGTGAAATAGTCTTTCGGGAGTTTCGACAAATGCGGACCTCTGATATAAACGTAGATCCGTGATTTAAACGAAGCAGCGGGAGAAAAACCTCTGGTATCGATTGCTTCCTTTGACAGTAACGTCTTACCTCTTGTAGGAGTATTTTATGTAAACCACCACTGCTTGGCACTAAGAAGGTTAGGAGGGTAATGTAGTGCCGCAAACATTAACAAGTCTTACTGAGAGCATGCGTTTATAGTCAAAAACGTAAAACAAACGAATTACCAGTATGTTCACCAATATTACATATACGCCTTCTATGGTTGGTACACTTCTTGCTACAATTGCTACTCTTGCTCATCTTGCTACACTTGCCATACCTGTTACGGTTGCTACACTTGCTGCAATTGCTACGTTCGCTTCGATTGGTACACTTGCTACACTTGCTACGTTTGCTTTGCTTGCGTCACTTCCTAGTTTGCAAAGTTTGCTTGCTACATTTGCTACCTGCGCATGCTACACTCGTTACTCTTGCTACGCTTTCAACGCTTGCTACAGTACATTTGCTATACTTACTACCCTTGCTACATTTGCTTGCTACACTTCTTGCCCTTGCTATGTTGGCTCCGCTTGCTACATTGAACAGGTGGTATCAATAGACAACCTAATCAGAAACTTTCTACATTGTCTCATGAGCAATTCAAAATAAGAAATAAATAGGATAAATTTATGTAAGTTGAAGATTTAGTTCAATTTTCCGTTTTGTATAAAAAAAATTATTAACCAAGACTTCCATCAGCCAATCAGGACACCGCTTCACTGAGGTACGATCTTTGAAGGCCAGTGTTTAATAACCTTACCCTAGAAGGTATACTTCCTTGAGAGCATTACAATTAAACTGCACATCATTGCTTTGATACTTATTATAGACACCAGTTCAGATACACAAAGCGATAAATTTATTTAGAGAAGTTAATTTTTATAGGCACAATTTAGGTCAGGAGTAAAACGTATTCTCTTTACAGATGTGTGATTAAAGGTCATTTAGACATAAATCAAACTTGGAAAAACTGTTTTCTACAAAACAGTGATCAACGGACAATTAATTTGTTTTGACCAGGCACAAAACAATTACTGAGTTTAATTTCCCTAGATGTCTTTCTTTTTTCTTTCCGGCTTAATCTCTTGTATGTAAAAGGTGGTCGACAAGACAAATCAGAAAACTTGATGGTAAAAACAACGTGGGGAGCGCGAAAAAGCCTGGGCAATGAAATAGAAATCTTTCGCCTATCAAAAGGACTAGCGGTAAATGTAGAACTACATTAATTTTATTAGTGATTTAACCTAGTGACTGAACAGGGAATTTGACTTCAGTATTAGAATGGATACCAATCCAGACACTAATAAACTTACACCAATCTGCCAAAAGAAACTACAACTGTGTAAATATTATAACTGCAGTAAATTGCTAGTCTAAAGTGCCTCTGTCCCATGCGGTATCCCATGTGGTAAATTGATACCAATGGTGGTGATAAAATTGACTTCTGATTCCTGATATTTTTCAGGTAGCTATAAAACAAGTTTCAAGTGTGCACGACTAGTCGCAAAATAAGCAACGAAACGTGCACTGTAATTTTCAGACTACGCAAAGCTTCAACTTATTTATTAACGACATATTATAATTTTCTTTTCTGGATAAGGTGTTCCTTTTCTTGCAAGGAACGCTCCACCTCGTAATTGGGACAAAATTGAAAACTGACTTCAACTTCAGATAGTTTGGAGCTGCTTCACTTCATCATACCTATACAACAACAGCAACAGCAAAAAGCAATGTTAGCAAGCTAACAAAAGGAAAGGACGTCAATGGCTGTCCCGACTGTTTCTCACATACCCCTATCGGTACGCTCTCTCTCTCGCTTCGCTCGTTTCTCCCAAAAAGACTCCAGCATTCATGAGGACATTAGGGAGTTTAAGATACGGTCACTACGGACTACGGACTACGTCTGGGCGTGAGAATCCAAGCCACGCGTGGACTGGACCGACTACGCTAAAAGGGCGCGAAAATTGGAGTGTTGTTTGACGTTAAGATCGTGACAACGACTACGGACTACGGCTGCACTTGGAAAAAAAAAATGTCCTTCGAAGATGCTAGAAACGCCCTTTTAATCGCTTATGCGGATGGTTTTCTGGATGATGAAGAGTTTATTGTTCTTTACGATTATTACCAACCCGTTAATCCTTCATTTCCGTACTGGAATTTTGATCCATTCTGTTTGGATGTGTTCGACTCTTGCGAGTGCGAAGCTCACTTCAGGGTGGCCAAGGATGATATTCCGATGTTATTGAACGCATTGCGGATTCCGGCGAGTTTCAAGTGCCCACAGGGAACAGTTTGCAGTGGCTTAGAAGGACTTTGTTTACTGCTAAAACGATTAGCATACCCATGCCGCTATTTCGATTTAATTTCAACTTTTGGACGTCCGGTGCCAGAGATGTGCATGATCGCTAACACTGTATTTGATTGGGTTTTTAATGAACATGGGTTTCGTTTAACCTCTTGGAATCAGCCATTTCTTACCCCTGCTTGCCTTCAAGAATACGCCTGTGCTATAGCAAGACAAGGAAGTCCACTTACCAATTGTTTTGGTTTCATTGACGGCACGGTTCGCCCCATATGTCGCCCTGGAGAAAAACAGCGCGTTGTATACAACGGGCACAAGCGTGTTCATGCGCTAAAATTTCAATCCGTAGTAGTGCCAAATGGTTTGATAGCAAATCTTTATGGTCCGGTGGAGGGTGCACGCCACGATGCAGGGATGCTTAAAGACTCTGGCCTGCTGCAAACGCTGGAAAGAGAAGCTTACAATCCAAGGGGGGACGTCCTACGTCTCTATGGAGACCCAGCTTACCCTCTTCGTCCTCATTTAATGGCCCCTTACCGAATAGGGGAGGTCCCAGTATTTACAGCCGATATGGAAGCATTTAATTCAGCAATGAGTTCTGCTAGAGCTTCGGTGGAATGTCTATTTGGCGATATCTCCAACTCGTTCAAGTTCTTAGATTTCAAGAAAAACTTAAAGTTAGGATTAAGCGCAGTTGGAAAGCAGTATATAGTGTCCGCACTGTTTAGAAATATTCTCACCTGCCTTTATGGTAACACAACATCAACACATTTTCAACTTGATCCACCAACTGTTCAAGACTATTCGGCCTAATGGCATCACAGTATATCAAGTAGAGATGTCTGAGCCCGATGCCAAGTTACAAAATATATTAGGTTGTTCTTGCAGCTAATCCAGGATTTCAGGTTTTATTTTTTCATGAAATATTACTGCTAGTGTCTGGTGAGTCTTCAGTCCGTGAAAATGAAATTTAAAAAGAGAAAGCAGCAAGGCTTAAAAAAAGAATAAAACAAATGTTCACTTAAATCCAGGACAAAGCAGCCTTTTCGTATAACCCAGTAAGTTCTTATGAAGTACTAATCAGATTTTAAAACATTGGTCAGAGTTGTCTTTGTTTGCCGGGTGTTGGGTCAAGGAGAGGGTCTGAACCAGGAAGGAAGGGCACAGAAAACTCTGATTGACAATAAGTTTATGTTTTTGTAATAGAATGAATTTGTTAAACCTTAAACTTAAGTATGCAGTTGCCATGGTAATCATCTACGGTATGTGCAACAACTTTACTATGAACTAATACAGTGACTATTCACTGTTAACTTAATTCCTGTATGAAAAAGATAATGGATCCAAACCGTCAAAGAAATAAAAATTTCATGACCATTTTGGTAAAAATATTAAATTCCTGTATTATGGAAAACATGAACAATAAACAAGTTATCCTTTTTCTTGTTTCTACTTGCAATAATTCACCAAACAAAGTTCACCACGCATGCTTATGTATTTTTGGGGAATTTCTGATAACTGATAGAAAAATGCAACAGTTTGTTAAAGGTTCTGTGAAACAAACAACAACGTATTAGAGTCTCCAAAAAATGCAAAATGCCCCTTTAAATTGAATGTATGGGATGGCAAAACAACCAAGCTCTCAAACAACAAAACTCTTAAATGTTATCACTTTGTAAGTTTCTGTACTAGAGCAAGAACAAGGTTTTGTGTGTTCATTTGACTTTGCATCATTTGCTTCATCTGCTCTTGTTGCACTTTGAATTGCTCTTTTTGCTGCTCAGCCTGAAGTTGCAGCTGCTGTCTTTGAAGTTCCAGCTCTTCTTTTCTGAAGTCTGTTTCCTTGGCTGTTTTCTCTGCTAAATACTGAAAAGGATCAGAACTAGCTTTTTTTCTTCCTCTTCTCTTTACAGTCTTCTTCTCTGTGGCACTTTCGTCCCCAGAATCAGAGGCTTCACCACTTGCTCCAGCCTTTGCCCACGTGGTCATGGCTTTATCTCTACATGCAAGTGCATCCTTCCTCTTCTGGTCATCTTTTTTGCTGTTTGCATTTCCTACACGAAGTGTTGTTGACTCCATGGCCGCAACTATTTCCTCAAGCAATGTTTCGTTTTCTGTTGGTGGATCAGGGTTGATCCCACTTGCTTTTTCTTCTTTGTTTTTCTTGTTCTTGTAGTCTTTTAACAGCTTGTTAAATTGTTCCCTCACGCTTCGCTGATCCCGAGGCATGTCTCTAAAAAGACTGAAGCAGTTTAGTTTTTCGGCTACTTCTGTCCATTTTTGGCCAGCTTCCTTGCTGCCCACTTTGTACAGAAATGGCTCCGAGGAGTATAATTCCCGAAGGAGCAGAGTATTTTTTGCTTCATTCCAACGAAACGGCCCACTAAAAAGGAACACATTTTATAAAATTAATACGTAGCATCAAAGTATTTTCTTAATACAAAATTGCATCCTGCCAATCACGTTTTATCACCTGTTGATCAATAACACCATAAAAAGCTGTCCTTAGGCTGCTGTCTCCAGTCAGTAAATTATTTTATTTGGGAAACAAGGTTAAATTCCAAAAAACATTAATTTTAAATCCAAAGAAAACATAAGACTCCCAATTTGGTCATCGTATCAGATTTCGATTCACCATAGTTCTCCATTAACTTCCCTTCCCAAGCTTCAACTCTCCTTCTGCATATCAATTTTAGGACACAAAACCAGTATATAAATTAATGTATGAGCATTTGAAAAACGATTTATACAAATGCCATTTTCAGACATGTGAGCTTACTTTGTTCGAACAGAGACGGCTGACTCGCCACTGGAGCACACACTAAAGAGACAAACAAATACCCAATCAGTGTCATGATTGACAATGAAGTTTCCGTTTATATAAAACAGGGTTCGTACTCTTTTTGAGCCCTTCAAATTCCATGAAAGTTTCCATTACTTTTTCCATGACCTTTTCCAGTCTTCCATGACTTTGGTTATTTCCTTCATCCTATTTAGGTACAGTGGCCTTTAGTGTCCCCACCACTACAAGCCGTTTAAATGTCCTTATTTTGGATTTTCTAGCAAACCTTCACCCCAATGACCGACAATTAAATTCCATGCCACCTTTTTTAAATTTCATGTTTCTTTTCCATGACCTGTACTTTTTTACATTTTTTGATTTGGAAAAAGTACATACTTCCAACAAAGTTCGCAGTTCAAAAAGTCGATTGTCATCCTAATTCTTCAACAT